TTTGTTTGTCAGATGTGACAATGAGCCTGCCCCATGGACAAGGTTTGTATTGTGCTTCTGACATGGTTAATTGTTTCTCCTCTTACTTGAATCCCTAACATCTTGTGAACCTAAATGTAGTGAAGAAAATGGGGATCGACCTAGGCCTTTGCCTCTTATTCCTGAGCTCAAGGAGGCAACTGATGTAACAGAGAGGAAAGAGAGTCCCTGCTGGGACTTTGATGTGCGTAGATGCTGTTTCTACTTTCTACTCTTTCACCTTTTCTTTCACTGGGTGACTTTTCTTTTCTTTAGCTATCCAAATGGCAACATGTAGCAATAAATGAATCTTTATGTGGATCACTGATTGCATATTTTACTATGGGTGATATAATCTCATGGAACAATAACTTAAGTTAAATGCTGTATACCGTTTTTCCTTTTCAAGGCTGAAATTTTTATTATCACCTGGAAGATAGTCTCTATTTCTAAGCTTTAGAATTTTTTCTTGCTTCAACCAGGAAGAAGATGGTTGCTGGAAGTGGAAGAAATCTCCACCTCTTAGCAAGAAACCAGTGAATGCTGGAAATCCAGAAGATAGCAAAACATCATTGAAAGCAATAAGGAAAGCACAGAATACTAGTATCAGAGAGAAGCTCCTGAAAGGTTTAGTCTGTCCATTGTCTCTGTACTTCATATACATCTTACTTAGTTGGGTGGAAAATGCTCTACTTATGAGCTTAGAACTGGTTTTAATATAAACTAACTAGTAACTACCATTAAATTCTTAAACTAGTTGATGCAGCCAAATTTGGTGATGCATTTCTATTCAGTTGCACATGTGTTTACTTAATGCTGTAATCTTTTTATCTTTTAGTGCTTGGTCAAGTAAGATTGGTGGACAGAATGAACTTCTCGTCAATGGCCTCCTCATGAACTTAGAATTTATTTGTGTCTTTTTTTTTTTTCCTTTTGGTTATCAGCTTAGGATTGGTCTCAACTTACAAGATATGCTATCTTCTATAAAAATGATTTAGTTTATTCGGCTGATCTGGCAGATGATGATCTGTCATAAATTAGGCAGTAAGTATTTTAATTTTTAAGTAAATAGGTAGTGAATTCTATATTAACATGGTTAGCTTTTAATGTGCAGAGTTCAGTTGCCTACTCTGTCGGCAAGTGATGACTCTCCCAATTACTACACC